TCGAAAAAATGTGAACCTAATTTTATGAATTAACTATATAATAGATTGAAAAATTAGTTCAATATTACAACACTAGTCTTTATCGTGTTGGTCTGTTGCCATCAAGTGCACAATATGCAGATGGTAAAGATTTTGAAATATCTTTTGACGTGAATGCTGACCGAATTGATAAAATCATATCATTGGATCTGAGAAATTATGTCAGGGTATGTTATTTCAAAATGTTCTGATCATTGTTACAAAACTAACATTGCATCATATAAAAAGACCAAACTCTCAGAAGTCCGTGAAAAATTTAATGGCGAATATGATAAAATTCAAGAGCAAATAACACAAATAAACGAAGAGATTCATCGTCTCAGTGATGATAACGCAGATAAGGAAATTGGTATGCTGATTACCAATTAATAATCTTTTTTTATTAAATGTGTTTATATATATATATATACCTCTCTTATTTAATAGATCTAAATACATTGGAGGATAATAAGAATATACTGTCACGACAATTTGAAGAAGTAAAGCAGGAAAGTATTTATATTTTATTTTATATTTTGTAAGTCAATACATGTCAAATAAAATAGTGTACTTTACCTTATTACAGTCTGAACAAAGTGAAATTGATACGCTGACGAAGCGATGCACATCTTTTGAGCAAAGGATTAGTCAGTTACGGTCTGAGGGCGCTGCAGTTTATCTCGAATGGAAGCAAAAGAGTCAAGAAATCCAAATCCAGTATGTTTTAGATTGTTATACGCATTTATAATTAAGTTTTAATTACTAATATTTTGTTCTATTTAGGTATGATCATTATATCCATGAGTATAATGCTGTTCAGGAAGCTGCATATAACGAATTCACCCAGATAAAAAATGAACAACTTAGAAGGCTTCAACACATCTCTAATGTTTTAACTGACTTAAAAAAGTTTTCAGAAAATGAGTTAAAATAAAGTTCCGAATTAGGCCATACAAACTTAATAAATCGGTTTTCATAAATAAAATTTTCAAAAGTGACCCGACAACCCGGCTTTTAATTTTATTTTCAAAAAATTTTATATATGTAGGGGTGTCAGTAGCATCTTGTTTCAAGTAAATTTTTTTCAGACTTTAAATTCAAATATCTTGATAATTATTAAACCAAACTTAATAAAATTTTTTTATTTTAATTCTATTTAGAGAATTAAAATAAAAAAAAATTTTAAAGTTTTAAAAAAAACTTACTAAAAACAAGATGCTTGGTTTCTACTAACACTCCCCATATATAAAAAACAATTTTTTATAGATTTTTTAAAAAAACTCACCCGGATAGTAAGTATACTTGAA